TTAATGTTTCCCTATCTTCTCCACATCTATTGCAAATGGGTCCCCAACTTTGATTCTGCCTTGTATAAGATCTCTCACTGGAAGCATCATTGAGACATTTCCATAGGAAGATTTCTGTTTATGCTTCACTTTCAATTTCCACACTTCCTTCCATAGCTTTGTGTTTGATCCTCCCAACTAGTAGATCCCTCCACCTGGTTTCTGCTGTGCTTACTTCCTTCTTGCCGCACCTGTAGCTTATACCCTGAATTAACGGTATAGTTTCCATCTGTCCCGTATATCCAGAAATGACTATCTTCCTTCCCTGATAAGCTTATTGGTATGGCCAAAATCCTTTCAGCATCTTGTCGATTGAAATTTTTGAAAACCAGATTCGTATTCCATGACTTCTGGCAGATCAGCTCATGAACTTTTTGAAGTCCATTGTCCATATGTCTTCTGGTCGTGACTTTCCCATTTATATTACCCGGATCCAGCAATCATCCCAGATATTGGTGTTGTTTCCATTGCCAATCCTTCTTCTTGTTCCTTGTTCCACCAACTCTCTAGCTCCCATAAGGCTCCTCCATATCCAAGATGCAGTATTGGGGACTTTGCACCTAAATATGGAAGTCTTGGGAAATATTTAGCCTTCAAAACTTGGCTGACTTAGGAGATTAGGTTGCGTTATCAGTCTCCAAACCTGCTTGCCTAGAAGTGCTGCATTAAATGCCATCAAATCTTTGAAGCCTAATCCTCCCATGTTCTTACTCCGAGTGAGCTTCCTCCAAGAGCACCAGTGTACCTTATTCTTTCCATTGGCCTCTCCCACCAGTAGTTTGACATTAGTGAGCTGAGTTCCTTACATAATCTGGATGGGAGCCTAAAACAGGACATGGTATACGTCGCATGGCTAAGGCTACTGACTTAAGCATAATTTCCTTACCTGCTGTACTTAAGAACCTGTTTTTCCACTTGCTCATTCTCTGTTGTATATTTGATTTGACAAATCCAAAAATCTGCTGCTTTGATCTTGATACCACCATTGGTAATCCGAGATACTTGCCTTGAGTAACACTTTGCATATTCCCCATAACTTGACAAATCTCATGCTTCAGATGTAGCCTCACATTCTTACTGAATATATAGAAGACTTATCCAGATTTATCAGTTGTCCAGACCCTTTGGCATACATGCAGCACCCTCATTAATTCCGTAGCCTGATCCTTATTTGCTTTGCAAAAGATCAAAGAGTCGTCTGCAAAGAAGAGGTGTGTTATACTAGGACCCTGTCTACTTATCTTCATCCCAGAAATTTTTCTGGTTTGTGCAGCCTGCCGAATAGGTTGGAAAATCCTTCAGAGCAAAGGAGAAACAGATAAGGGATAGGGGATCCCCTTGTCTAATACCTCTAGTGGGTATCACATACTCTTTCACCTCCCCATTAATATTGAAGGAGTAAGATACAGTTCTTACACACTCCATAATCCAGTTTATCCATCTGTACTGAAACCCCATCTTTTGCATAATGGCCTCAAGAAAACTCCATTCCACACGGTCGTAGGCTTTGGACATGTCCAACTTCACTGCCATAAACCCATCCTTACCTTGTCTCTTGTTATTTAGATAATGCAAATACTCATGAGAGACTAAGATGTTATCTAGAATTTGCCTACCGGGGATGAATGCAGATTGGTTTTTGCAAATGCAGCAATGTAAAACACCTTTGAGCCTATTTGCAAGAATTTTAGCAATGACTTTATATATGGTAGTGCAAAGACTAATTGGTCTTAACTGATTCAAAGATGTGGGATTAAGCAGTTTGGGGATGAGAGTAATCACCGTATGGTTAACACTTTTCAAGAGGTGGCCTGTATGAAAAAAGGTTTGGATTGCATTTACCACTTCTTTCTTGATGGTAGTCCAGAATTTTTGGAAAAAAAGTGGTGACATACCATCAACCCCAGGAGATTTATCTGGGTTCATAGAGAAAATTACAGCTTTTATTTCTTCTTCCAAAACTGGTTTCATCAGATTTCCATTGAGTTCATCAGTGATAGTATGGGGTATACCATCCAGTACCTCAGTTAAGTCCCCGACGTCATTACTGTTGAACAGATTCCTATAGTATTCTGCAATCTCCTTGCTCACTGCCTGCTCACTCTCAGTCCAAGTACCATCCTCTCGCTGAAGTTTGTTCAGTCTATTTCTCCTTCTCCTACCTTGTACCGAGGCATGGAAAAATTTCGTGTTCTTGTCACCCTCCCTAAGCCATTGTATCCGCGATTTTTGAAGCCAGTACAACTCTTCCTCTTTGTAGGCTTCCTTTAACTGTTTTTTTAGAGAATCCTTACAATCCTTGCTGGTGCTACCTAGAGAAGACTTCAGATCACTCAACTGGTTTTTTATCTGCTCAGTTTTCACTCTTGCATTTGCTTGGAAGTTATTCCTCCATTGTAGTAGAGCTACTCGGCAGTTTTTGAGCTTCTTAACCACTTGGAACATCCTAGATCCATCAATTTCCTGCTCCCAAGCCGACTTGATTACCTCCCCTATATCCTCTCTTTAAGCCACCTCTTATCAAAGTAGAATCTCTTCTTCCTCTTACCAAGATTCATCTTAGTATCGAACAAAAGAATACTGTGATCAGACGCATATGAGTCAATATGAGTACACTGAACTTTCTCATACACCTTTGACCAGGAGTAGCTACAAAAACCTCTATCCAGTCTCTGTTTGATTTCTCCTTCTTGATCCCAATTGTTACACCAAGTCCAAGGATGTCCAACAAACCCAATATCCATCAACTGATTCCCATTAATGAATTGCTTGAAGTCTTGAAAGCTGCTTTCCTGTCGACTATTTCCTCCCCATTTTTCTTCATTAGATACAATATCATTAAAGTCTCCTGCTATCATCCATTTTTCTCCCCACAAACTCTTCTCCTTTCTATAACTTCCCACTGTTGTTTTCTGAACTGATCATCACAACTTGCATAGATGCCTACAAACCACAATCAGTGTTCACTTCCGGGTCCTCCACATGCGCTTCTATGGTAAAAGCAGTCCTCAAAACCTCTATAATTTTCACCTCATCTTTCCAAAGAAGAGCCAATCCTCCTGCCTTATTCATTGCCTCCACCACACCATTTCATCAAATCTTAAAATGTTTTTCACTTTTTCATGTATTTTGTTCTATTCTTGGTCTCACTTAAAAACACCATACTTGGGGAAGAGGTTATTAACCTCTCTCAGCTGGGGAATGTCAAGGGGCTCCCCACTCCTTGACAATTCCACACCTGAACTCTCATTTGGATCCTGGGGTCCTATAGGGATGGACCCTTCCCCCTCAGCCCCTAGTTTATTTCGTTTCATCTCATGTCCTTCCTCCTCAACGTTTTCCATAGCCACATCCACTTCTGTACTTTTCCTCTTGTTTGGTATTTAATATTCCCCAGGTTGATACTAATTCCTTTTAGATCCTGTCTTCTATTGCTAGGTGATCTTAAAGGCTTTTGAACCCTTCGAAGCTGCTTCCTAATTCCCTTTTGCTTTGTAGCCATGCTCACCTGATCAACCTGTGTAAGTAACAGGCCATTATTTGCCACCTCCAAAGCTGGCTGTTGAAATTGCTGAACCCCTTGCTCCCTCAGTATATGCTCAAGATCGCTATCTACCATCATAGAAGTCCTCCCACCCTGTTCGTTACCACCCTTTACTTCCCCTGCATGGGTTATATCCCCACCAGAATTGGGTATTAGAACTTCAGTTTCCTCAACACCCTCCATGTTTGAAACAGATACTGAATTGGAGGTTGTTGCCACCACTACCTCCTCTGATCAGTTGGTTGTTCATCCCGCTAGCTTCCTCCCAATTCCAGGACTGTCTCTCTCTCACACTCCTCTTCACTCCTCTGGAACCACCATGTACTTGAGTCCCTGGACATTCTTTCTCTATCCATTCCCATTCTGATAACTCCAGTGGCTCCTTTGGGGGTTAAAAACCACCCCTGTATGTTTTGCTGAACCCCTTGCTCCTCAGTATATGCTCAAGATCGGTCTACCATCATAGAATCCTCCCACCCTGTTCGTTACCACCCTTTACTTCCCCTGCATGGGTTATATCCACCAGAATGGTATTAGAACTTCAGTTTCCTCAACACCCTCCATGTTGAAACAGATACTGAATTGGAGGTTGTTGCCACCACTACCTCCCTCTGATCAGTTGGTTGTTCATCCCGCTAGCTTCCTCAATTCCAGGACTGTCTCTCTCTCACACTCCTCTTCACTCCACTCCTCTGGAACCACCATGTACTTGAGTCCCTGGACATTCTTCTCTATCCATTCCCCATTCTGATAACTCCAGTGGCTCCTTTGGGGTTAAAAACCCCCTGTATGTTTTTTCTGAGCAGACATCATCCCATTTGCATGCCTGCCCTCATCCAATTCCCATATTAATTATCCCTTTTACCTTCCCTCCCACTCACACCCATTCCACAAGATCTCTCACTGTGCCCTATTCTGCCACACTATAGCAAAAGTTCGGACATCTCTCGTATTTAAACTGAACCCATTTTGCTACCCCTGCCACTTCGATGGTTGTCCCTCGCAGAGAGGTTGAGTAATATCCACTAATGCAGCTAGCTTGAGGTGTCTTCCTTCCTTTTCCCCCAGTTTGTGGTATAATGACGTCTCTTACCAGGTGGAAAACAGATCCTATTTTCTTCCCACCTTCTTTGAGATATAGTGAACTGGAAGATTCCAGACTTGCACCCAAAGTGGTGCTAAATTAAAGGCCTTTTCATCATCTTCAATCCCTCATACCATCTGTTCAGAACCAGTAATTGTTATCCAAGATCCACGGGCCTCCCTGAGCTATTTATCCCTATCTTCGTCTTTTGGTACAATAAATTGGAACAAATTTGGACCCAACTCAGCACAGTCAAATCCCTTGGATACCCCCATGCTGCTGTGACAAAGTTCTTCACACCGGTAATTAGCTATCTTCTCCCCCACTATTTCCCTAACAAACTGCTTGACACTCCTTGATACCTAAGGATAGCTCTCCTCCCATCTCTGTTACTTGCAGCTCCTTGTTCGAGAGATTAAAACTTTGCAGAATATCCACAATGTCTTCAGCCATTAGGCTTAAATGAGGTACTGCCAGTATAAGTCTCACACCCACACTGACCTCAAAGGAAACCCGATGAACCCACTAAGGGAAAAGAAAAAAAAAATATGCTTTTCTCTAGGTAAATGTTAGAATGGTAGGCGACAAAGAAACAGAGCAATATGCACCTAACACTAATGCACCTACTATACCAGACAAGATAGGAAAAGAGAATGGCAGTGAGTTTACCTGTCGGAAACAAAACCACTCCCTTGGAACTTCGTCTTAGCCGGTAGATCTGTTACCTCATAGTAGTACAGCTTGAAAGGGTCTCCACGATCTCAAACAGCGATGCTAGGAATTCTGCTCTTAGTAAAGACTCTTCAGCTCCAATTACTATGAAAGGGATCCGACCAAAATGCACTTAGAACAATGTATTTAACGCTAAAACCTTGTCTGAAAGATACAAAGATTGAATCTTTTGGGACTGTCGGAACTTTTGAAAGCTCCCACAAAAGGAAGAGTTGCTCTCTTTTTTAGAGAGAGAAAGTGCCCCTACACGCGAGGAGATTGTCCTTGAGTTGGAATATCAACATCATCAACATTGCAACAAATTTTTTTGCCCTTGTTGATTTTGAAGATGAGCTATCACCACAATAACTTGTCATTTGATAGCAAATAAGTAAAAAAAAAGTTTGCAAGTAATAATCCAATACCTATAATTATAGATATTAGATGAATTAAGTAAAAAATATAATATAGACAAATTGAGAGTGAGCAAATAAGAACAAAGTTGGAGAAATTAGACAGGAGATCAAAAAATTGAGTATTGAAGATGAAAGAGAGAAGATAAAATTTTGGTGTGGGAGAAAATGAAATTTAGAAAAACCTCTCTCGTGTGTTTTGGTGCCAGCGCAACTAGTGATATAGCATAAGTCAATGCTACGGTTGCAATTGCCAGCCCCATCAAATAAGACAAAAGTATCTGTAAGTGCGAAGCACGGGAGCGATACATGGCTGACCCCCTTATGAGCAAGACAATTGTGCTTAACGATGAAACAAATGCAACGGTACTTGCCCGAATCAGATACCGGTAATAGGTGGGATGGGTTTGTGCCATGATGGGTTCTCCTACTCAGTGTGGATTTGGTCCTTCCTTTAAGTCATCTTGCCACAACCCTCCTGGAGGGCTTACCACAGCTTGAAAGGCCATGGTTGCTATGAGTGAGAGCACTACCATCATTGCATTACTTCTCTCTTTGAGCATCACCTGGTACTCTCCTGGGTCGCGGCCTCCTGTAATGGCACCGATCGACGTAAGAGAGCTTTCAATTTCGGTATCGAAGTTCTCTTGACCCCGCAAAAGTGATAAAGCATTTCTGCCTTTTGCATCCTGCTGTTTCACCCAAACTTGGGAGCTATCAAGCAAGTATTTGATCGTCTGCATTTCCGAATTAGCAATTTAGCTTTAAAATCTAGATCAAGGGTGGTTCCATTTGGTTGTTCCTTGGTACTTTTGTATTATTTTAGAGCGCCAAGGATCTTTTATGTCAAACAAAATATGTGGTCATCTGGATTTGATAGTCACGTAATTAATCTTTGAAAGCATAAACATTTAATGACAATTACAAGAGATTGTCAGATGATCTTGGTGCCCATTGAAAATCCAATCTTTTCTTTATCCATATAGGTAACCCAATTTGGATACCATTCGGATATTGTTCGTGACATTTATTCAAATAACAAATTTAGACTAAGAATCAACGTAATGACACATGAAGTTGTCAAGCCAAATAAGAAATTACAAAAACTCAAATGATCCAATTAGATTTGGAGCTTGTACAATTGTGCGATTCTTGAAAAGGTTTTAAAACCATTTTTTGTTTAAAAGAAATTTCCAACCACCAAAATGTGGAAATGGAACAAAAATATAAGAAAATGAAAGGAAAATGTACCTTTCAATTTCCTTAGGAGAGAATAATGCTACATGTTGTTAAAGGAATAATTTCAAAAACCTCCTTTGAAGCTTTTAACAATTTTGCTTAACATCCGTTTAGTGATCTCCCTTACTTTGGGGTTTTTGGTAACAAGTTCAGACCCCATCAGAAAAAGTGATTGGAAAAGTTGAAAGAAAATTTTGATGATAAAATTATTCCCAAGTTATCCCTAGAAGTGTGTTAGGTGAAATTGTAAGAAATCTAAGGGATGATTTTGAAATTATTTCTATAATAAAATGATTTTTTTTAACCATAGAGATCCATTACTTCTTAAAAAAAAATCACAAGAAGATTAAAAAATGAAAGAAAATAAACACAACCTGGTTTTGACGATAGTATATGGCCATGTGTAATATGGTCATTCCATCCTCATTTTTGGCGTTCTGAAACCATACATCTTTTGAGATGTCGACTAGCATCTTCAAGGCCTCCAGCTGATTATACTTGACACATAAATGCAAAATGGTCCCTCCCTCGTCTGTCTTCTCCAGAGCTGCTTGAAATCCGGCATCAAGTAGCTCTTGCAAAACTGCCAATCTGCCATACATGGCAGCAAGATGTATGGGGTTTCTGCCATTTCCATCACGGGCCAAGCACAAAAAGTAAGCAGCATCCTCACTTCTGCCCTTCGGAAGCTGTGTATCTTTTAATCGGTTGACTAGCACCTTCAAGGCCTCTAGCTGATTATATTTGACACACAAATGCAAAATGGTCTCTTCCCCATCTGTCTTCTCCACAGCGGCTTCAAATCCGGCATCAAGCAGCACTTGCAAGACTGTCAATCTGCCATAAATGGCAGCAAGATGTAAAGGGTTTCTGCCTTCTCGATCACGGGCCAAGCACAAAAAATAAGCAGATTGAACTTGTAAGTTTGCTTTTACAAAATCTGCATGGCCCAACATTGCTGCTATGTGTAGAGGATTCTTATCCTCGCAGTTCAAAGCAGCTTTATCAAGAACAACTGGATCTTCTCCAAGTAACTGATGAAGAGGGGTAACGTCACCTTTTAGTGCGGCATCACAGAGCCTTTTCTCCGGTTCTTTCTCCAGTTCTTTCTCACCCATGCTGCCTAAACTCCTCAGCTATATACTATATATCACGGGTCGCAGGTTGATTTGCTGCACTAGATAATATTGCTTTTCACGGTTATGTATTTGGAGATTTGAGGAAATCTGAACCAAAATATTAGAATGCTGAAAGGCACTTCTAGGCATAGATGTGATATAAATATTGCTCCATTTAGTTAATTGCAACAATGATCGTTTGTCTAGGCAACTGGGAAGCCTGAGGAACTCGATAAAACTTGGTGTACGGTTCTCACAGCCATTTGGGTTGATATATATAGTACTGAATATACTATGACCTTGGTTCGAGTGTGTACTTTGTAATTCAGGAAGTATTTCACGTTTCTCATTTATACTCTGGTTGCTGTGCAAGAAAAGGCTTGCAACAGGGGATAGATTGAGAAAGTGGGAAGTTTCATGGGTCTTCTGCGCGTGTACTTTGTAATCCAGCAGAGGAATCCAGGCTGCGTCTACTCTTTTCTTGTGTTGTTTCCGGTGCAGTATGGAAAAAGGTTCAATCTATGCGTTTTGTTTAGAGGGGCAGTTTCCCTTGTTCTGTTGAAATCAGTTGGATATGTCAACATGGAAGTCAAGTTCCTTCGTCGATAAGTTCAAAAGATTAGCCCTGGCTGCTACGGTCTATCGAGTATGGAAGGCTAGGAATGGGGTCATCTTTGGGCATAATCCCACTGCCATACAGAGTAATTTTTTCTGCTGTCTTGGATACTGTTGGGCATGTTGGAGCTACCTAGAAGAGGGTAGGAACGGTTGCAGACCTGAAGGTTATGTGTATTTCGCACACGACGTAACTTTATTTGTATATGATGTAATTTACTTTTAACAATGTAGCTCAAAAAAAAATTTTGTAAGTCCCACATATATTGTTAAAAACGAGATACAAGATGAAATTTGAATCTTACAAATTTTTTTGACCAAATCTTGGTCATGAACTGCCAGGAAGCAACCGATCCTGCCCCTCTTCCGGAAGAAAGTTCCACTGACGAAATCTACTTGGGACATCATTATGGATTACGGAATGGGCCATCACTCCTTAGTGTTTTGCAAGTTTTTGATGGTTAAATACTAAAGGTAAATGGTATGGGAACTATAGATGTTTACTTTTGATGTCCTTGTACATGCTTATTGAATATCACATAAAGTTGCACATTTAGTCGGGGAAAAAAAAAAAGACACTGCTTCTCAGAAAAATTTATGACTTCATTAAAAATGAAGGGAAATGTTAATTGCATTCTATTTTTTTTTTGTTAATTACACTCTCATGACTTTTTTTTTATCATATAGTCTAACAAATGAAAATCATATAATAAAAATGATAGTAAAAATGTGATTAACAAAAAATAGAATGCGATTAACATTTCTCAAAATGAATGTCTCTTAAGAAGGGGCTTCCTGGCTGTTAGGGATAAATTTAAAATTTAACTTTACTTGAGACCTTAGTAAAAAAAAAAATTAAATTCGTATTCCTGAAGAGTTGGTTGTCCTTATGACGCGGCAATGGAAGTGAATTAATAGAAATAGTTTGATGCACTAATTGCATAGAAAAGAATCAAGGATTGATATACGATCAGAACCCCAAAATAACAAGAATCAAACTAGAATCTAATATGAAAATGTTAGATTAATACAAAATAACAAAACCCAACACAAAAGTATCAAATTTCATGTAATTGTCAAAAGAGTTAATTATTACAAAAAGTTGTAGATATGCCTATTTATAGGCTATAAAGTTATAACATAAAAAATAAAGAAAAATAATTTTAAAAACTTTAAAACAACTCCAATCTCTGTCAGCAATTTGGCGATGGATGGATTTGTTGAGGGTGCATATGGATTTGGTGTCGTATTTTTTAATCCAGCAACTCGTTATAAATTTCATGAAAGATCCCTGAATTGAGGGTCATCATTTTGTATCAGACTCCACCACTTAAAAAAAAACCTGTTCCCGAGTAGGGGTGCTAGCATCAAAAGCTTGACTCGAACTCGGTAAAATCAAGCTCGAGTTCGACCTCGAGCTACTCGTTAAATTTAACAAGTCGAGTTCGAGCTCAAGAAATAAGTATTCAAGTACTCGCCGAGCTTAATCGAGCTTTCATATTTTATTTATATTATATTATATATTATATATTTTTAAAAAAATTATAGATTTATTTCAAAACTCGAGCTCGAGCTCGAGTAGTGGTGGGTGTCAAACCACCAAAAATAAAATTTATATTAGACCTACTACCAAAACTGAATGAGTATAGTGGTGAATAGGGTCGTCTCCTCAGGGAACAGGTAGGCAAATCACACAGGAAAATGGGGGGTTTTTTAGCAGTAGTACCAACTAATTAAAAAGGAATAAAAACTGAAATTTAAAGTTGAGTAAGATAGCAGGAACCAAATCACACAAATAACAATTAATCAAAACAATCTAGTCAAGGAATTAATCTTGGCACCGAAGCACACAACTGATCACAGATACATGGGACAATTCATATACTCACGAATAAACTGGTTATAGTGGTCAAGCGACGCGCCCAACCACCAATCTTTCCTTAATTTTATGGTAGTCAAGAGACGCTCATAAACTACCCTCTTGTGACTAGACAACCCCAGAAACGCTCACAGGATTTAATGTAGCCACAGCATTAGGAATTAGAAAGACCCAATTCTAGATGACAAACACACATGCGGGTTTATTTAGGCTAGATTAATTATCCCCACGATCCAAATTAAACCGCTTGCGAGGCGGTGAAATTGTCTCGTTTGCCACTAATCAAGATGCTTAAAGGCGACGCGCCAACATCCTAATTGGCTATCAATTATTTAGACAATTGAATAACAGGCCTAATTATCCAATAAATCTAAACAATAATAACTCAGGGAAAAATAGAGAATAATTAAATACCCATGAACATATAAATTAGAAATAAAACAATTAAAACGATCTCACAGTTATGGTGCTCCAATCCTTGATTTATTCCTCAACTAGATAAAAGAACTAGCCTTGCCGCATAATCATGAAGCAATTCAGAGTTTTCATCGAGTTTTTGTCGATTGAGGAAGTAGTAAAAGATGATGTCGGCTCCTATTTGCTACTTGCGTTCAAAAGGAAAAAGAAGAAAAGAACAAAGAGACAAGTCCAAGACAGAAGATCCCCTAGTCTATTGCTGCCTTTTTATTTATAGTGTTGCTGCCGCTTCCCTTTGCTTGTTGAATTGGAATTTGTTTCCCACAAGGATTGTTTCCTTATTTCCCTCATTGGATTGTTGCCAAAAGTCCTCTTCGAATTCTATTTCCTCTGCTACTTAAAGGTCTTCGCAGCACTTGCTTTCCAATTCCAATTGGTTTCCAATTTTCCTGTGTTTCCCAAAAGGATTCCTTTTTCTTACTTTCTTAATTGTTTGTTGCCAAACGACTTCTTGTTTTTAAGGTTTCCTGATCTCACGCATGGTAAAAAGGTATCTTCCAATCAGAATGGTTGTTCCAGGGATTGGGCCCGCGATCCGACTTTTTCACGCAGCTCTGTGTTGTCTGGCGTGGGCACGCCTTAGAAGCAAGAGTCTTCTGGATTTGCCTCCCTTTTGTCACTTTCAACACTAATTGCCTGTAATTAACACCAATACTAATTATGAGCAGAAATCCAATACTTTGCATACTATACTGCCAAAATTAAGACCAAATAACCACAAATAAAATGCATAATTATATCCCTATCAAATTCCCCCACACCAAGACAATGCTTGTCCTCAAGCATTTCAAACTTTAAATACACAACAAGCGAGCAAACATTTTGCAGCAGTTGAATTCAAAACAATGGCTATTAATCAAAGCAACTATTGCCAATGTATGATTTAGATAACTGTCAAGTACTGATGACAAATTTTACGGGATAACTCTCCAACTAGCTTTTAAAACCAATGACTCTTTCAAATCCAGACTAACCAATCTAAGAATAGAAAATATCCAACCAACATTCTTTAATAACTGGTCCAACCATTAAGCAAAATCTCAACATAAAGACTCATGGATCCGCAGGCAATACAATTATTCGCATACTTTCATGCTCGTATACCAATTTTTTTTTTTTCATTTTCTTTTTTTTTTTGTTTCTTTTCCCTTTTTTCCTTAAAGGAAGTGCTTAGTCTTGAGCCATTCAAGTCTTTTGACGCGAACTCCGACATCTCTTCAATGAAGGAGCCCGGTTACTCAACTTAAACCGCTTAAAGACCACATACTCATAGTTATCGCTGCTTTTTGACGCGAAAATCGACACTTTAGGTGAAGACCCCCGGTTACTAGTCAATGATAACCAGCGGAGTATAGCCGAATGTTATTCACAAATAAACACCCAAGTAAAATTAAAACCATGCAAGCCTGCTTCATTTCCTTAACATGGAGAACTAAGATTAATAGTTGAACCAGTTCACACAAAAATGTCAGAAAAATATTTACAATGCCTAGAAAAGTTAACCAAAAGAAATTGCAAGAGTCACAAAATCTCAAATATTTACCAGAGAGTCATCCTAAAATTTTACCATATCATACTTAACATATTATCATCTAAAACCATAACAATAGTTAAATTTGAAAATCAAGCCATTGCTTATCAGGCTAACCACAAAAATCCAAAAGGCATGGTAAAGGTTTTTTTTTTTTTTTTTTTTTTTTTTTTTTTAAGGAAGAAGGAAAAGCAGTAAGAAGGAAAAGCTAGACTACTCCCCCACACCTAAAGTCTACATTGTCCTCAATGTAAGAACGAAAAGTTGAAGTCAAGTGAAGGGCAAAAACTTCCCTGAATGAATAAAAACTGCAGCAAAACACCATGGTAGAGGAGGTGTCAGGGACTGGCAGCGTGGAGCCTCCGACGGTAGTGTGGTGTAGCGTTGCTTCAGATGGAAGCGGAAGTCTTCAATCCAAGCCTGTGTCCCCAGAGTGGACCAGAGTTGCTGTAAGGCGTGCCCACGCCTTATAAGGCAGAGTCTTCTGCCCAAGCATTT